TGTGGGAGGAAGCCGGAGAACCCGGGGAGAACATGCAAACTCCACGCAGAAAGATCCCGGGTGTGCGAACCGGCGACCTTCTTGCTGGGGTGCTAACCACATCACCACCTTGCAGCCCAGTTTTGCGGCATTGATGTTTAATTCTTTTATATTTTTCTGTTTTGGAGAAAAATCTGTCATAGTACAAGAAACTACACAGAGAAAACAGAAGTACATAAAACCAAAAACTGTCAGATTTATCATCCTTGTCTGCATGCCCAGGTTTGGCTCAAGTGTTTTATTTCTGTTTCAGGCTTATGGCTGCGAATCCGACTCTGTCTGAGGTGTCTGTGCGCACGCTTTTAGAGCGAGGTCTAACTCAAGTTGAAGGAGGTACGTCTTTATCTTCTCTTCCCTCGTCAGAGAGGAATAATCTCACTTTGCTTTCTCTCATCTGCTGGCAGCTGAATGTGTTTCTCCTCGGCAGGATTTGTGTTCTCCAGAGACCTGCGAGTTAATTTCGTAAGTACCTTTTAACCTCCCAAACCTTCGCCACGTCGCTGTCAGTCATTCCTCCAACAACAGGTTTGAGCAGTCGGAACACGTGTGTGCTTGATCTGTTTCATGCAGAAAAACATAGTGCGGCTTACTCTGGAGCAGAGTCGGGAGATGCAGTCAAGCATTCAAGCTGCTGTTCTTCTTGTTCTGTAAGATATTCACCACTATACTGAAATTAATATTTGCAACACTGCAACACTAATGGTACTTTTTACCAAGCAAGCCTGACAGTGTTTCTTAATCCAGGACAGTACAAGGCATCTCGTACTAAAAGCTGAAATTTCTGTTTTTTTTTTCCAGAGCAGACAAAGGCATTGATGGAACATTAAATCCAAATGAACAGAAACTCATCTCGGAGCTTCTCCAAGGCTATCAGGACAAAAATGTGAGGTTAAAAAAAATAAACCTTTGTAGTTACTGAGCCGTTGTAGAGCACCAGCAGGGTGACAGTTGCCATCTGTTCATTCTTGACACCCCTCGAAAATCAGTGTTAGTGTTTGAAACACACGTTTGTCCACATGTGTGTACTGATCTGAAAAATGCAAAAGCAGCACCATAGGATGAAATCAATGTCTCAGGGGAAGAAAACATTTTAACAACACTTTGTAGTAAAATGCACTGAATATACAGTAAAATATGCAGTAATTTTAGCACTGAAAACAACATGAGTGAATGAAATTTCATCGACAGTTACTTTCTACGTGAACTGTCATGCAACACAATTATTAGCCTTTAACTTTTTTGTTAAACTGGTCATCAAATGCAAACTTCTACACGTAGTTACATGATGTATTACATTTTATTTTCAAGCTATCTTGCAGAACTTGAGTTTTTATTGTTTGTCGTTGAAGTTTAAACTAAAAACCAAAGACCGTTCAGGGGAGAATGGACAGATGATGATTAAGTTTACTTCACGTGTGAGATAACATTAGATCGAAGCATTCCGATTTCAGTTTGTATGTCCATCTGTCCTGATCTTGTGACCCTGATATCTCAGGAACACCTGGAGAGAAATTTCTGTCCTGTAAACTGAGTAGAATGTAGTGGTAAAAGGTCACGGTGACCTCATGCACAATTATTCAGCCATAAAATGATAATTCTGGCACTTATCAACACAACATCTGCCACAATTATGTGATAATATAATGGTGTGATAAGATTTTATATGCAAAGGTCAAAGGTTAACTTCCCAGTGAGATCATGTTTTCTGCAAAAACACTTGTCTGTTTATTTGACACCGTAACTCAGGAACAGAAAAAAATATTGCGACCATGTTTCACATTTGGTTACATACTGATGTGACCTTAAATTTGGGTTTCCACCTTAAAACTGTGTTGATTGCAAAGATCTCCTGAAGATGTGTTTGAAGCATCCATATTTTAGATTTTCTTTGCAGCAACATCCATTATACGAATCATTGTTTACTGTCATGGCCACAACACATACGAGGAGTTTGTTTTTCTTGACAAACTCACCTTTTATCAAAAGTGCCTGGACTTACATGGATGTAAACTGCAACCTGACTGGTTGGAGGTAACTCTAGTTTATCTGACTTGTGACCCTTAAATAAAGTCATCCTGGATGCAATGTGCAATCAAAATGACTTAATGTTTAACAAATATAATAAAATAAAATGTCCCAGTGCTTGTAACTGTGACATAATTGTGACATAAATATCATTAGGTTATGTAGCAATATTTATGGTATTTCAAAAAAAGTAAAAACCCAAGCCTTCATATTTCCAATTATCCTTCCTATTGTGCTTTAAAGGGCACTGAGCAGCTGCTCTTTTGCAACATAAAACTGGAAAGGCCCTAATTATCTGGCATGTCAGCTAATGTATGAAATCACTGTTGTATGAATTAAAATTAATTAACCGTTGATTTAGGAAGCATTAATTTATCACATGAAGTCATACAGACTCGATCATTTGTCAGCAGGAATTTGTGATGCACCCTGCACATTACCTCATGCATTAAACAGCCACAAGTCATGCATTAGTTAAGTTTATGTTTAGTGCCCTCATTATAAGTGTACATGTGACTTCAACAATGACCTACTAAAACACAGAGGAGAGGGATGGAGGATGTGCAGCAGCTAAGTGCTTCCCATTGTGACTGTATCGATGATAAGAGAGCATTTACTGAGGAAAGCAGATAGATTCCTATACATATAGATAAACACAAACAAAATTAAAAGTAATACACGATTAAAAGTGTAGAAAAGCCCAATGTTCAAACTGAGACATCTGTGGTTTCATCTGCAGCACAACCTCTGTAATCTTGTTTTTAAAAATAACAGCAGTGGAAGAGTTGCTGAGGCATTTTCATTAAACAAACACAACAGCTTCATCTAAAGTCTAGACTCTGTTGATGGAGTGAAGTCAGCGGGTGGAAGATGACAGAATGAATCATGGCGACCGAGACGTCACCAAAGCTGAGCAAACTGAAGGAACACCAGGCACACAGACATTTGTTCAGAATCAGTGGTTGAAAGCAATCTGGATGGTGTATGAAAGAGATGATTGTAGGAGGAAATTAAATTTGATCAACTTTATTGTGAAGTAGTACCACCGCAGAGAGATGGAGCTGAGCAACTAAAGCAAAGCCAACAGTAGCAGCCGCGATTATAGATCTGTGTTAGAATAAACAAACGTGCATCGGGAACAATAAACAGATTGACCGGTGTTGTTGTACTGGATGTAACTGTGATACATAAACAAAGTAAACAACACAATATGCTGAATTTACACTATGAATCAGATTCCTAGAAAACGGGAGGGGAAAAACCCCAAAAACTTCCAAGCTGGACTTTCACTATCAGTTATTTTACAGATAATATCTAGCAAAATAACAAAAAATTAAAATTAAAATGAACTTACATGTTGAATGTAAATATAAACAGACCAAAACTGCAAATAATGTAAAATCATTCTGTACTTGGTTCCAGATCTGTCTCATCTTTGGATTTCTGACAGTAAAGACCCATTCTGCCTTTTTACATTCATGATTTAGACCCAGATAGCCATAAAGTTTGTTTACGGGATTGGTTTGATCCCTCTAATGTTCCAGATAAGTGTCTTTTGTTAATGGAATAATTTGGTTGACTCTGATCAGAAAGTCTAACTATTTTGGGGCTTCAGATGTTGGTTTTGTAGCACTTGAAGTCTCCTTGTGTCTTGAGGGCTTGATTTTAGATGTACCCAATGTTCTTTTTAGAATGTTAATAATCAATAGATAACTGCTTAATTCTTTCCTGCATGCATTTGTTGGTTCTTTGGATGTTTCTTCTGGACCTGCAGATTTCTGCATTCAGCACTTCTCTGCTAAGGCAAGTTTGTTTGTGTAGCACATTTCAACAACAAGGCAATTCAAAGTGCTTTACATAAAGCATAAAAAGCATCAAGGCAAGGTGTAAAGCAACATTAAAACAGACATTTCAACACAATTAAAAGAGTTAAATTGAGAATTTAAAGGAAGATAAAACGTCACATAAAAGTTACAGTGCGGTTTAAGATATTCAAAAGCCTCATATTCGCTCATTGGAAGGCAAACAGAAAAGTCTTCAGTCTCCATTCAAAAGAACTAACGGTTACAGCTGAGTTGCATTTTTCTGGGAGTTTGTTCCACGTATTTGGCGTATGAAAGCTTTTTGTGTTTCGTTTTGACTTTGGGGACAGAAAGTGTTTCACATGGCAACAGAGGTCTGGATGTTGGGATAAGATGCTTGTCCCGTCTGGTGTAGTCTGATTACACTGTTGAACCTTTTAGTCCAAACTCTAGCTAGCATGTCTAAATTCTGAGCATACTGTTTGTTTCAGTGCATCATCTATTTCCTCTCTGTGTCTTTCTCTCAGCACACTGTGGTGACGGTGTCAGGAGATCATCACGTCCATCTAAATAACCCCGAAGTCGTCGCTCCACTAATTTCTGACTTCCTGCAGACAAAAGTCCTCTCGCAGCCGGCCTAGCGGAAAGACGCACAACTTCTAACCGAAACGCACACAACACCAGCAACACTCTCTCATTGTGAAATTTCACACTTTAGGTAGCAACCCACTGTTCTCATCTCTCTCAGGACGGTTTGACCATAAAATCCTTTTGGATAAATTTGTGTCCATCCTGGTTTGAACACAAGATCACTAGAATTTTTGTTGTGTTGTTAAATTGTGTTCAGCTGTTGTAATATCTCATTGAATTCTGTATGCATGCAAGCCTGTTTCTTAATGTTCAGCTGCTTCCAGTAAAAAAAAAAAAAAAAAAAAAATGTTTTCTTATGTCAGACACTGAAAGCCTCACACAGACAAGAATGAACTAAAGTCTTTTATAATGTCATTAAATCACCCTAAATAATGAGTCAAAACCAGCAAATACAATAATTAATTAATTCCACTGATAGATTGTATTGCTTTGCTTCTCTCAGAGTGCAAAGTGTTGTATTTTGTAACAATCAGCTGCAGTTTTCAGGACAGAATTGTGCTCCAAATTGAACACACAAAAAAAAGCTTTCTTTCTTTCTTTCTTTCTTTCTGTAACTAATGCAGTCTGGAAGTCGCAGGTCATCACTTCTGTTCTCGGATATCGCAGCTCCTCGTTTGAAGCTGATCTGTTTAACTCAGCTGCTTTTCATGAATCTGGTTCGGTTGTGCAGAATGAGCTAAAAATGGCAGTCATTAAAAAAGATGACATCCTCTGACAACTTTTCATTATGTAGGCCATCAGCTCTGGCTTTTTTTCTTTTTTTTTTTTTTTGTCTTTGGAAAAACAGCAAGACTGAAAAGGAAAGAAAAAATTCAGGGGAGCCACACTCCAGAAAAAACAACTGCAGCTGCTGCCAGTCAGAGCAGTTATGAAGGGAGCAGCTAACAAAATAAAAATAAAGTTTAAAAAAAAAAAAAAAAAAAAGCCCTCCTTCTCTCTCAATGTCACATAAACTGTGTGATGGCCTTGGTGTTAAATGGAGTGGAATTGATTTTACGCAGCCGGCAGAAAGGCGGCGAGCATCCAGAGACATCTGAAGGGCTTGTCCCCCCCCCCCCAAAAAAAGAGAGAGATTATAGTTATATAAGTTTCCCTCCCACTCCCTCCATCCTCTCAGCCATCAGCAGGGGTGTTGTCATGGCAACCCCCGCCCCTCCTCTGCACGTCAGAGCCAGGAGCTGGAGGATGAAGCCGCATGCAGCTTCTGTCTCCTGTGCCTCTCTCAGAGCACCTGTGATCCTCTCGCCGTCTCGGATGCAACAGTGGGAGCTGCGGCAGCGCTGGACGTAATCTCATGGTGTGTTCTGACGCTTCCCTCGCACACAGACACGATCTGAGAGAGCAACTGATCGAGCCGCGTCCACAGGTAAGACACGGTGTGCGCCTTTTATTTACTCCTGTGCGCTATTTTTAGAATGCACCTGTGCCAATCCTCGGGAAGCCTCGGAGAAGTGGTGAGAGTTTTGCAGAATGCTTGAAGCTGAACGTCTTTTTGGTGTAAGAAAAGAGGAGTGTTTTCAAAGGAATGGCTGCACATAATGGACACGCTGCAGTTAGTCGTGCGTAATTGTAAGACTTAAATAACGCTCCTCATCCACCCTTCTCCAAAATCTCCTCTGCCGTCATGTCTTTTCCTCCCATCCATTTCCACCCTCCTCCTCCGCCTGAATCCATCCCATTCACCCTTTTTATTTTAGCTCTGACAGCCGTCATGTCGTGGTTGTTCCTGGACTGGTTCGTGCCCCTCTACCTGCTGGTGTCGGTTCTGGTGCTGGCAGGCTTCGGAGCGTGCCTGTACTTCTTGGAGCCCGGGCTGCAGGATGCCCACAAGTGGAGCAACAAAACAGTCCGGCATCACCCGCTGGTGGCCAGTGTGAACTGCAGAGATGACGATAGCAATGCTCTGATATGATCAAGAGGGGAGGGCGGCAGGCCATCTGGACAGGGGTGCTGCCGGGACACCGGTGGGATGGAAGCCAACACCTCAACGACCGAGAGAGGAAGATGAGGAGGATGAGAGATGGAAGAGGAGACGATGTGATAATACAAACCTTGGTCCTGCTTTCTTCCAGCTTCTCTCTGACTTCTGCAGATTCTCTCTGCAGGGATTAGGGAGAAGAATTCCTTTTAAAAAATAATAATAAATGAAGCCAAATGCACAAAGGAGGAGAAGCTGCAGAAGAAAAAGATTGTGAGGTGATTGGAGGACATGTTGCCCTTTAGAAATGTGTTTGTTAAATCCACTTATACCATCTTATATACTTGTGCCAACTTTTACATACGTTTTGTAATTTGACAATCACTTTACATATATGCCATGAAGTTTACTTACATTGTGCATTTAATTAGTGGAGGAAATGACATAAGTGCTGCCAGCAGGGAGGGTTTTTGAATCCTCCCTCTGATGTCGGCATGGCAGCTGCTGAGACGCATGTTGTGCCAAAATGGTGTAGTAGTGACTTTACTAAAATAATATGTACTGAATAAATGCAAACTGATTTATTGCAGGTGCCAAGATTACACTAGGTGGACCAAGACTAGAGGGAAAAAAATAGTATTTGGTGATGCTCAGTGTCTATTTTTTTGTTTTCATCATTTTTACTTGACAGCATGGTGAGGAAACTATGGGTGTGTAACCCTCTTTGATCATATGCTTCCTTTGTTCATACAAAAATAAAACTGTTCAATCCTTACTTCTGTGGATTTGCTCTTTGCATGCTTATAATGGATATCTGAGATAAATAATACCAATTTAAATCAAGATTTATGTAGAGTATCTGCAGTAATAGTAGGGGAAAAAAAACTACATTTGGTGCATTTCTATACTTTACTGCATTTATCCAACAGCTGGAGTTTCTCTGTACTTCCACATAAGTTTTTTTTTTTTAATGAAATAACATATGGAATACATTACAAAACATCTTACAAGGAAAGCTCTCCTTTCGATGAGGCATCGGCAGTTTCATCAAAGACACATTTCCTCGAATGATTTTATGTAACTAACTGTTAAAGGCCTAAAGATGTAAAAATTGCACCATATTTCACTAAAAGCAGAAAGGAATAGATCAATATATAAATATAGGAGCCACTTAGAACCATGTGCAAAGCTCATTTCTGTCTACAATGATGTTGTGATCTACATGCATGCGTCTTCATCCCTGATTGAAAAAATGGATTTTGCATATCATTCAAGTGCAGACTCATGCGCTCCCCATAAGATAAGATAAGATAAGATCAAACTATATAATCCCAAAGGAAATTCTTGTGCCAGAAAAAAAAATTCAACAACACAAGATTAAGCTGAGAGTGTTAAATATAAAGTGCATATGGAGCTAACAGCAGTGCCTCGAATAGCAATAAGTGTGATACGTTTAGTAAAAATAAACAGGCTATAAATAAAACAAGGCCCAAAGATACAGCAATGATCCCACCGCATTTAAATAAGTCTATAGGATGGTCCTCCTTAAACAAGAGGAGAAAAATGCACATTACCATTTACTGCCAAAACATTATTAGATAAATTATCAGCTGATGCCGCTGGCCTTTTATCCCACCACACCAACAAGTACGGCACTAGTTCTACCACTTGAATTCATTTAAATGTCCTCAGGGTGCACTCAGAGCTTAGTAAAGCTACTTTCTCTTTTATTGCATCCTGGGCGTAGAATGAGTAGCACAGAACCATTACCTCAGAAACACTCCCTTCTTTGAACACCTTCAAACGTCTTTTACAAACTTCCCTGAAGAAAACATGTTGCTGTTTCACACAATCCTTGTCCTGAGGAGGAATGTGAGACTGTGTTGTGACCCATGTGCCTTTTTTCTCTGATTATTTCCTTTGTGTTGCCATGTCTTGTGAAATTGGTTTTTAGCATGAAACCGTTTCTTCTGTGGCGTTAACAGAACTCCTCGCTAGAATGTTGTCTCTGAGGACCTAAACTTGAGACACCTCAACCAGCAACAGCAGTAAAATGCTGCTCACACACTGATGCATGAATATTAATCAAATAGTGTATCCAGGAGCCAAATTCCTGTACTCTCTGCTCCTGAAGTACATTTTGCTGATAATTCTTATGCAGAATTTCGAATGCATCACTTTTACTTGCAATTAAGTGTTTCTAAATGCACTTTCCTTCAATGAAGGATCTCTTTCTCACTGATTTGCTATGCAAACAGACAGGCTGCACAGGCCACATTCAGACTTCACAGCGTCCCATGAACCAAATCAAATGAGACACCAGAGTGGGAGTGAAACAGTGAAGCCTCAGTGTCATGGAATGGAGAGAATGGCACTTGTGTGCCCACAACTTCCTACTGCTCCGCTCCCCGTCTCGCACTCTGTCTTATTTACCCGCTCAGCGTGTCAGCATCAGAGGCAGCACATCAAACATCAGGTCAGTGTCTTTTTCCTCAGCTGTAGCGTACAAAGCTTGTGTTTTTTAGTGTAAACATTTGTTATGCAGCGGAAGTCACAGTGTGAGTGAACACCTGCAGTGTTATTATAGACTACAGTGGTGCATTCACTCAGGTGCTATACTTCTACATCACTTGAGTATTTCCATTTTATTGTACTTTATGCTTCTGCTTGGCTACTTGTTTTACAGCCATAAGTGCTTGTTTTATATAAAAACATATGATCAACTCATAAAATTTGATGCTTCTTTTTTTTTTTCTTTTACAGATAAAACTGTTTTGTTTTTGTTACTTTTTCTCAAGTATAGCATCTGAAAGTTTCTCTGTTGTCCACTGTTGTCAGATTATGACACTTAAAAAATATGGATGTTTCCATGAAATGTTTTTGTGGATAATATTTGTCATTCTTATCTAACAACCAAGTTTCTTTTCATCCCGTTCTTCATAGAATGAGTGTTTTTGACCGTCTGGCGCCTTTGATCCCACAAGTATCTGCCTCCTGCAGACAAACAAAGGAGCATCCAAAAGTCTGTGTGTCACCTCCTGTCTCCCTCTCTTCTCCTGTCATCAAGAAGAAAGCCATTCAAATCCCATCATTTGATGAGAAGGGACTCATCTTTGAAAAACACAACACAAAACTGTCAGCAGCTGAAAGGTAAATTGATGTGTAGCTTGTTTTTTGGCTCAGTTTTATGTTCTACATAATCCAATAAATATTATAATGAATTCCTTTTTACGGGTTGCATTTTCTCCCCGCCTTCTCAGATCATTTGATTCAGTTTGCTCCTTGAAGACAACCAGTCAGGCCTCGTGGAGTAAATCATGTCCACAGAGAAACCACAGAGAAAGAGCTTCAACCCTTCCGAGGACCAAGCCCAAAACATACAGCCCTCCGTCTCTCTCTGGGAAGCCCAGCATCTCCATTTTTCCTGCTACAAAGCCAAATTCCTCTCCTACTCTCCCCACTCTTAAACCAAGGCAAAGTGATTTTCTTCATCTCCCCGCCTCACAGCTGAGTGATCCTCCTCCATCCCTGCAGCAGCCAAAGCCAAGTGTATCTCCCACTCTGACAGTCCCAACACCCAGGCTGAGCCCATCTCCCATGTCGACATGCCAGGGGATGAGTTCAGATGGTCAGGGAGGAAAACAACCTTTTCCTGTCGCTAAAGAAAGACGTGCCAGATCAATTCCCATCTCAAATCCTAAAGCCAAGCCTTTCAATGAGGTAAAGCATGACATTCTTGACCAAGACACTTTACTGGACTTCACTCATCCGGAAGCGAGAAAAGTTTGTCCTGCAACAAGCAGAGAGTCTCCACATCAGACTTACTCTGAATCCTACAGACTACCAGCCACATCTCAGAATCCCTGCTTCCTGCAAAGCAGATTTGGAATAAATAAAGGAGAAAATATTGTAAAAGATCAACCAAAAACTCCTCCAAGAAATATAGGCATTACTGCAATCCCTAAACCAAAGTCAAACATCAAACAACAGCAGGAATCTGAACCAAGTGAAGTGACAGACACACAGACATCTGTTTCAGAAAGGATAAAGTCTGTTGACACTGTTCACAGAGAGTCAGATGGACCGGCCTCTCAGTCAAGCTTTCAAAGAAAATGTGCAGACTACAATCAGAGGAGCAACAACACTCAAAGCCCAAATTTCACCTCCAGTCACCAATCACACGAACAGATGTGTTCTGAGAAAGGAGCAGCTTCACCAGTGACTTCAAAAAGGCCATTTTTCACAGATTCTCTTTTGAGTCCGTCTGCTGTCTCACCCAACATCGAGGGCAGGAGAAGACGGTTTGATTTGCACAATGAAACACAAGCGAATACAACATTTCTATCAGGTCCTCATCCCAGGAGACCACAGGAAGAAAACAAAGTACAGACAATTGCAGGAAGCTTGTCTAAAGCCAGTCAACAAACCGGTGCACATCAAAATATCAAGTCCCTTCAGAAATACAGATTCTCATTGAAGACCCAAAGTCAAACTACCCAGATGGATGTGAAGAGTGCAGTAAGGCAGTTTGACTGTGTATCAAAGGATTACAGCTGCCAGTCAAGAGACATCGATCAGAAAGCAGAAGCTTCCCGGTGTGCACACAGATTAAATCGACTTAAGACATGTCTGGTGGCACCTCAGACCCAGGGGGCCTCTGGTCCTGCCTCAATTGAGCGCATCGCTTCACATACTGGAAACTTCTCAAAGCCTGGCCTTCGATCACAGGAACATCCCCTCAGTCAAGACCGGTCTCCTGGACCACATAAAAAAAGCCATAAAGAGGTGAAAGCTAGCGACACAGGGCTGAATCAGACAGATATTTTAGCACCACCTGACCACCACGCGATGCCAACAAAGCTACTAGAATATCCCTCTGAGAAATATGTTGCAAGCTGGACCCCATCTGTGGCGCTCTGCCCATTCAACACAAACAGGTTTGGCATCAGTTCAACGGGGGCCTTTGACCTGCTATCCCAGCCACAGCACAGAGTATACCAGAAAGCAGAGGAGACAACAACAACAACAACAGCTCCCCTTCCAACAAACCAGCTGAATCACTCTGTAGTAGACAGCGCATTTGTCACTGAGGAATCAGAAGACCCCTATTACGTCACCATGTACTACCCTGGCTCGGTGTATGTGGGTGAGTACAGGGAGATTTGAACCACTTTAACTGAACACAGTCAGCAAATTCATCAAAGATTAGATGACAGGGACTTTTTCATCTCTTGTCTTTATTTGGGGTGGGAGTTAAATAATTTTCAGTCTTTTGGGGGTGGGAGCTCAGATGAGGGGGTGGTCAAAGAGGATAGTGGAGGGATTTAAGACGACACTCCTTATCAGCAGAGCAACAGACATGCTGAGGAGAGACGTGGCGACGCTGGTTAGCAGACTCTATCAAAGTGTGTAGTCCAGGAAGACATGCCACAGCAGCTTCCCACAGACGCACACAAACACAAGGAGAACATGCAGGAAGGGAAGCAGAGGAGGGACGAGAGGAGAGCAACTCTGAGATAAAGTGTGAGTACAGAGCCACAGCTGAAGTTCTCCTCCTGCTAAAGAAACGCTTTCAAATATAGTGTACTTTGTGGTTTAAGTTGTGTTAACCCAGTAATTCACAGAAAAGACACAAACAAGCTGTGTACGTCTGCCTTTGGAGGCTTACAGACAAACCTTGATGTATCATAATTCAGTATCAGGAACCTTTTTGGCTTGTGACCCTTTCAAGTGAAGCAATATCTCTGTTTGGCACAAGCTGCGCACTGTATGTCGATGAGTTGTGTGTGAGCCAGCTGAAGAGCTGATTGTCGGATGGTTTTATCTGAATTGCTTTTGGAGGCCCAACAAGGGAAAACTGTCCTGCATTTGTTTGCCAGAACAGCCCTGAATCTAAAGGTGCACTTGGAGGCTTTTTCTGGAGTTTTCACCTGTACCACACAGTCTTCATCAGTGCTGTTAAATAACAGTTACTGGTCTTGCATACTAAAATCTTTTTGTGTTGCAGAAATACTTTATTCATGTCTGTCTTACAACCCCTCAGCTTTTGTATACTGTGCAGGAGTCTGTCCCTCCAGAAACCCTTTATTATTAATCATAGCACGTTGAACTTTGTGTCACCAGTAGTGGGATGTATCTCAGTATATTTACACAAGTACTTTAAATCTACTTCACCACATTTCAAAGTGAAATATTCTTCACTGCTGAGATTTTGACCTGATATAGAAAGAAAACCGCTTGTGTTACTCACAGCATTGATAAATTCAGCCATAATCATTTTATTATGAGTTTTTGCTGCTGCATCACTTCAAACTGTCTTATGTAAAAGATATTTTTGTGTCTCTACAGCATGTAACGGACAGACAAAGTCAGATGTTACTTTACAGATAAGTTCTACTGTTCGGAGGAACTTATCTATCAGTGTAATGCTCTGAAAACTAGCTCCACCATGACGAACAATGTACTAATAATAGTAAAATACTAATAGAGGTCATTCTGTCTGTCATTTTTAATGCTTTACAAACATTTTTATTAAGGGTAGTTCTGTCCTGTACTTTTAATTGAGCATTTTACATTTTCTAAGTACAATTTTAAGTTTTTTTCAGTTAAGAATGCAAGTTCCTTCTACTTTTAAAGTGAGTTATTATTGAGGGAAATATTTTACTCTGCAATTTATATAGAACAGTTATCAATTACTTTACAGAGTAGGATTTTACATACTCAAAATAAATCATAAATGTAATGTATAGTTGTAGTTGCAGTACATTATGTAAAACGTAATCTCATGCTTAGAATTTAATGCTCACAAGGTGAAGCATCAATAATAGTAATACAGTTATGTAACATATAACCACTGCGACAATGCCAGGGGCTGTTATTCATCCAAAATGAGCAACTTTTTTTACTTTTGTTTTGTTTTTGTTTTCATGCTGCATTTGGTTGAAACTCTATGAAAGAAAATAATGAGGTGGGATATTTTTATATTTATGTATTTACTTCTTCCAGCACTGCTTGAAGGACCCATATTGTTTTCCATCAGTCCATCCATTATCTATACACTGATTAATCCTCACTAGGGTCGCAGGGGGTTGGAGTCTATCCCAGCTGACTCAGGGGCAAGGCTATGTTCACCCTACGCAGGTCACCAGTCTATCACAGGGATATACAGAAAGACAAAAACGAACACGGACAACTTCGAATCACCAATTAACTTCAACATGTTTTTGAACTGTGGGAGGAAGCCAGAGAACCCGGAGAGAACCCATGCTGCACAGGGAGGACATGGAAACTGCACACAGAAACATCCTATGCATCCTAGCCGGAATGCGAACAGGGAATCTTCTAGCTGTGAGGTGACGGTGCTTACCACCGATCCACTGTGCAGCCGCCATATTGTTCCCCTTTTCAGCAAATTAATGAAAGTCTCACATTTCCCCAGAATGTGCCTTTCATTTTTTCTGCTCAAAATATTCCAAAAATTTCACCATGACAGTATAACACGTGGTTGTAGTCCTGTTCTAAAAGGGGTGTTTCAGGGTCTTTAACTTTAAATGCAGTTGAGTTGTTGCTGTCAGCGCCCTCATAAGGAAGAAGACTCTTTCTGCGTCTGTGGCTGACAGTGTGAAGCAAAACATTTGTTGCATGGCAGCTGGGCAGGACTTTTTATTGCTTCCAACATTCTCTCTGAGCGATCATTTTACATGGAAATAGCCATTGTTTTAACTTATGTTCATCCGACAGCATCACAGTTAAGCAATTTAGTGGTGCAGAGCAGCATCTGGAAAATGGCTCTGAGGTGACTGGTTAACATGTCATCCTATTGGGCAGGTAGTGCATGAAGACTCTTGTTTTCACTGTTGAAGCCAACACCAGAAAATTTTGCGCACTGAGACACTTTAGAAATAGCAGAGGCATCTCTAGAAAATAAATAAACCTGGCAGACTGTGAGGCAGATGCTGTTTCTGAATGGCTCACCTGGCAGCAGCAGGCAGTGAGGGGGCAGGATGAAGTACATTTTTTTTTTTTTTTAGCAAGAACCACTATTGGTTCCTTAGTTTCTGCTTACAAATGGAATAAAATTCTTTCTGGCTTGTTAAGCTGGGAGGCTATCTAGCTGAAGAGGGGCTAGTGGGATTCATATTCTCACAGCTTACAACACACAACAAGAATTTCACCACATGCCACCTTTCAGCAAAAGTTAATTTCCCGTCCCTGTGTTTGACCATGCATGAGACTTTTTAATTTTGCAGAACTCTGCAAAAGCACGTGACACTGACACCCAGTTGGATTTATTTTTAATCTAATTATGAGACAGTCCACGCTGCCCCCTATAAATAGCCTCTATGGTTGACAGAAGACCAAAAAATGTCCCTTTGAGGTGAAGTCAGACTGCGCATGTGCGCTGCATCTCCCCACTCCCTTTCCTCTTGTCGCCTTGGTAACGGGAAAGGGGGGCTCACGGCCGGAGGGAAGGAGAGGAGAGGTACCCAGGCTCATCACATGACCGCTCCTTTATCTTTATCTCCGTGTTGCATGAACATTGTTGGTTTCTTGGATCCGCGGCGGCACTCGAGCAGTGAGAACAGCCCGTCTTCTCCTTCGAAAACGTTTGAACGGGTCAATTGAACGGCGTCGGTAAGTGAGAGAGAGCCGAGCCCACCGTTAGCGGGGCAGTGCTAGCAGCTAGCTAACAGAGCTAGCCGTTAACGTTATTATCCAGCATGACTGGAGAGAGACAATGGAGGCTACGATGGAACTAGCCTCGTGTGTTGTATAAAAACAAATAAAAGCTGCGTTTAAAAAAAAAAAGTGGTACACACCAAGCTCCTCTGGCTCTAAACGTTAATGTGCTCTGTGAAAGAAAAGCACGTTAAAGCAAAATGTAGCTTTCGTGTCACCACAGCATCATCAGTTATTGTATGCTTCAGTCTTAAAGTGTGATTTTCTTGTGGCTTAATACTGGTGTGATGAAATGATTGTGCAGATGCTGTGAGATGTGAATGTATTGTGGTATGTGTGAAGGCAGCAAGGAGCATGAGGGATGTATTGAGATGTGAATGTATTGTGGTATGTGTGAAGGCAGCAAGGAGCATGAGGGCAGGCAGGGAGGGTGGGAGGGGGGCAGAGCTGCATGACCACTGAGTGTTGTGAATCAAAGTGACAGCCTCTGCCTCGGTGACTTGTATGATCTGCATCCACGGCCGTGTCTGCACTGACTCAAAGCGTGGCAGCAGGCTGCTCCGTGTGCACACCCCGGAGGGCTGAAGTTACCAACATCTTGGCCCAGACTCATGCCTGTTACTGCTCACCATCTGCCTGCTTTACTTAAAGGCTCAGATCACCTACAGGCCTACCTGTAGTGGTGTCCAAGCTGTGCAGATAGCTTGGGATTTCTGCCCAAGTTTGGTTATTTCGCAACCGTGTCTGAGTTTTCTGGTGCCACACAGATGAATCCAGCTTCAGCTGTGTTTTTTCGCAACAAAAGATTGTTGTCATTGTTAAGCTGCTCTGTAAAGTGTCAGATTAGTGTGAACAATTAAAACCCCAAAGTTCAAAGTGATTCCTTCAACCCAGAAATATTCAGTTTATTGTCACACTTAAGTGTGTGGATATTAGCCACATTCAAGAGGCGGGAACTTGTGAAGTTTTGCTGTTTTTGCTTGAAAAATAACCTTCTTTTGATCAGCTTACGTATCAATCAGCTAATTACTGGAGTTTAAGTTATTATAGCATTAAAAAGTTACATTTATTGATACCAGTGGGACTTCCAATAGCAGCCAAATGGGTTACCTCTAGTGATGTCAAAGTTTTGGACTCCTGGCCAAATTCCGTATCCATGTCTGAGCGTTTTTGCTGCTGCCTTATCATTATTTACCTGCCCTGTAAAGTGCTGCCACAAGTCCCCAAAGTCCAATCTGATGCCGTCAACCCACAGATGTTCAGTTCATTATCACACATGACTAAAAACATGGATATTTGGCACATTCAAGAGGCTGAAACTTGTACATTTTTACAGTTTGGCTTGAAAACAATTTTAAAAATGGATGCTAATTAATTCATTTTCTTTTGATCAGCAAATTAATTCATAACCTAATTATTGCTGCTAAAGTGCTTTGGCATTAAAAGTTACATTTTATGATGTACCAATGGGACCTATTTTCTTCAAATACTTAAAACTAAATTCTGAGTTACCTCCAGTAGTGTCAAAGCCATGCATAAAGTTTTGAATTCCTGCCCAAGTTCTGAAATTTAGTATCTGTGTTTGAGTTTTCTGCTGCCGCCTCAATACAAGAGAGATGAATCGAGTTTCAGCTGTGGTTTTCTGCAACAAAAGATTGTTTTCATTATCTATCTGCTCTGTAAAGTGTCAGATTAGTGTGAAAAATACCAGCCACAAGTTTCCAAAGTCCAAAAGCATTCAAAAGTTACATCTAAGAATGCACCAATGGGAATTTTTTTTCTTCCAATACTAAAAACCTACATTCTGGGTTAGCTCCAGTGGTGACAAAGCCATACAGACAGTTTTGGATTTCTGCCCAAGTTTTAAGATTTAGTATCTGTGTCTGAGTTCTCTGCTGCCGCCTCAATACAGAAGAGATTAAATGAGTTTCAGCTGTGGTTCTCTGTTTTCATTATCATTCATCTGTCTGTTTGTAAAGTGTCAAATAAGTATGAAAAATGTCTGCCTCAAGTTTCACAGCTCTAAGGTGATGTCTTCAACCCAAAGATATTCAATTTATTATAACAAGTGACGAAGAAAACAGATACTAGCCGCGTTTATGAGGCAGGAACTTGTGATTTTTTGCAATTTTTGCAAAAGAAAAAAAAAAAAAAATTTTAAGCTGATTCATTTATGTTTGATGAGCTAATTAAATAATCAGCTAATTATTGTAGCTAAACTGCTTATAGCTTTAAAAAGTTGCATTTAAGGATGTACCAATGGGACGTTTGTCTTCCAATACTTAAATTCCAGATATTTGCCAATATTAAGTACCTTAGCTTGAATTCTACACTGTTTTTTATTTTTATTCATTTTTTTTTTAAATAAACACGTATATATTATATAATATATTTTTGTGATCATGGCCAAGTTATTGTCCTTAGCTTAACATTGTGCACCTAATAACTTGTCAGCTCTCTCTTTTTCGCTATATTTCTGCTCTGTAATATATAGACATTATTACCTAGGTATCCATAATAATCTAATATCAACTGATATATTGTCCTTTCTTATCTAATGAAGAACAGCGGATATCTAATTCACTGTACAAGGTTGGTACATCTCCAGTTATATACATACAATTTAACAAAAACACTTTTGTTTTAGAAATATCTGTTCCCTTATGTATGGGAATAGAGAAAAACATTGCAAAACCTGGGAAAAGAAAACATAAACGGTATGTGTGGCTCGATGTGCATGAGTATTTTCTGTCAGTTTCGCACCTTTAAGCCTGCTACAACAAACTTTTTCTTCAATGTAAGAACAAGCAAAGGGACAGTAGGCCTCCGCTGCTCCACTGGCCTATTTTATAATTATTTTTTGTTTCTATCTTTCTCTTCTTCTGTAGACATGTCAGATGTAGTTCCTCCAGAGGTTAGACCCAAACCAGCTGTCCCTGCCAAGCCCCCTAATGTGGGGGCTCCTTCCCCCTCTAGCCCCTTCCCGCCTCAGGGCCCGGGTGTCGGAGGAGGCGGTGTCTCTGCTCCACCTCCAAGCGGCATTCCAGTTCCCATCGGAAGTCACGGTCCAAGCCACATTGGCGGTCACGGAGTGGGTCATGGCGTGGGCCATGGTGCTGGTCATGCTGGGAGTCACCCTGCAGCACACAGTGGAGGTCACAGTCACGGCGGCTCCCACAGCACCAGCGGAGGATCCACTCTGCTGGGGTACATTGGTATTGACACCATAATTGAGCAGATGAGGAAGAAGACCATGAAGACTGGGTTTGACTTCAATATCATGGTTGTGGGTAAGTTGTAGTGGACGTTGTTTTTCCTTTATACTTGAAAACTTGCTGTCATTTCTTTTCTGACTTCCTCTCTGGCCTTTTTTCTCGTCCCTCCTCCCGCCATGTCTCTCACCTCAGGTCACAGTGGTCTTGGAAAGTCAACTCTGATCAACACCTTATTCAAGTCCCAGGTGAGCAGGAGGAGTGCAGGATGGGCTCGTGATGAGAAGATCCCCAAAACTGTGGAGATCAAGGCAGTGTCTCACGGTGAGTACAGAGAGAGCGATCCTGTTCTTTCTTTAGAGCCAGACATTTATATTTGCGTTTAATTGGACAGAAAAAAATTAATGATCTTTGACCATGTCCTTAAAAGTCCCATGTAACCTACTTATAGTACATCAGTGCGCCTTGCTAGCTGCCAAGAGAGCTCATCATTTATTTCCAGCAGAGATATCATTGTATGGGCCAACTTCTACCTCTCCTTTACACATGCGCTGCAGCGCAATTCTAGACATTACCCAAAGGAGCTTTATGTGCAAATGTCCCAGACAGTTGGACCACACATTAAACAGAATTCACCCTGCCAGCTCTCTAATAAAAAGTCTGTGTAATGTCCAAATGAGCCCAGTGTAAATAGAGCAGGTCACTGTCCAGAAAATTCACAGCAAGCGAGTGTGCGTGCTGATGAGTCCTGCATCTTGCACATTCTCCTGAGGTGCCACACCTCGGTGAAACAAAATGGGAAACCTCAAGTACTGAGAGTGCTTCTAACATGGGCAGTTTCCTGTTGTCTGGGAAAGGACCTGTCACGTGGGAAAGGACTTTTAGATACTGTGTGGTGTTCAAGTCATCTTGCAGAATTCTTCTCAGACTTTTTTTCTAATTTGACTGTCTATTTGCTGTAGTAGTGGGTGTCAAGCTAATTACAGAGAATCTGTTTTTCTACTTGTTCTTCTATAATGTTACTTTATGTCATATCAATAAATCAGTGTGGACACCTGTCTGATTTCTGTCTACTTAGGGTTGTCGGCTTTATTAACAAACTAGAAGGAAGATTACATTTGCAAATGACCTTAACATGAATGAATGTATGCGGCTGGAGTTTTGCAGACAGATTACTGTCAAACGAGAGATGGCTGTTCAGTGATCATGGAGGAAATTCTGATATTGCACAGTTTTCTGATGCAGTGTTATTAGACCAGTTAAAATTCAGACATTCTTTACTTCCAGGTGAAGTTTACTATGTAAAGTGGTAATTTAGGATAGGCAGCTAAATCAAAAAGAGCAACAGAGAGAGATGATTCATAACAGTAAGTAACAGGTCATAATAAGTAGACAGGTAAATCCGACAGGGAACTGTGGCTAAGAAGTGTGTATGTGCTGTGAGCTGATCAGGGGATTCGCAGCAGGTGTGTAGGTGGGTGTAGGGGTTTAGTGGTGCTGAATGACGTGAGATAGTACAGACTTCTGCCAGCCGAGGAGAGTGTCAGACTCTTTAATGATAGGGAAGAATAGTAGCTGGCGAGCTGACAACATGAATCTCCAGGATAAATCCACCATTTATAAATCTTAAAAAATTACAAACAGCTTCCAGTGTTTCAGTATAAGTGATTCGAGCCAAAATCCGCTGTCTTTGTTATGTAAGTTAGAAAAGTCTTCACCAGTCTCAGTGGAAAAAAAATCAAGCAGTGTTTTCTTAGGGTCGCTGTCTTTTTAGTATGGATATTTTGTGTTATTAAAAAAAGGCTTTGGAAGAAAGCTAGTGGATTTGAGAAACTGGGATTGCTGGATAAAACTAAGACAACCTTTTTTGCATATAGTGAGGACTGTAGACCCACCACAACCACAACTACTACTCACTTTGAAAGCACACCCATAAGGGATAAGTTGGATTTAATACTAGAAGTCACTCAAGGATTTATTCGAAGATATGACACACTGTGCATAGAACAACTGTTGCCTGGGTGTGGCAAATAGAAGGACACTGTTAAAAAAGCTCATAATAAATCTCGGCTAGAATTCATGACTGGAGTTGGAGACTCAGAAGCGAACTGGATAAAGGTTCTTTGGCCTGATGACACCAAAATTGAGTTTTTTGACACATCTAACAGGACACTATGTTTGGCAGACACCAAACACTGCACATCATCACAAACACAGCATCCTCACTGTAAAGCATGGCGGTGGCAGCATCACGATGTGGGGATGCTTCGCAGCAGTAGGCCCTGGAAGATTTGTAAAGGTAGTGGGTATTATGAGTGCTGTAAAATAATGGGAAATCCAGGAGGACAACGTGATACAGTCTGCACTGAAGCTACACAGAAATGGAGTGGTCAACTTAGAGCCCAGACCTCAATCCTATTGAGAATTTGTGGTTGGACTTGAAAAGGTCTGTTGACTCACAATCGACATTGCAACCTGACAGAGCTTGAGCAGTTTTGCAAAGAAGAATGGGGTAAAATTGTAGTGTCAGGCTGTGCAAGGCTGACTGAGACCCACCCACACAGGCTCTCAATGCTGTACTTGCGGCCAAAGCTGCATCTACTAAATAATTTTAATTAATTGACATTACTTGGTAGAAGTCTGTTTTTACTTTGGCATAAGTCTTTTTTTTTAAATTCTTGTCCAAAAAGCACCTAAGTATATGAACCATGATTCAGTGTTCAAAAGCAATAAAAGGAGAAAACGTCTAATGGTCATGAATAGTTTTTATAGGCACTGTCAAGTAGTGTATGTCATACATCTTCAGTTAAAACAATGAGTTGGAAAAATATTTGCCTGAACCATATTTTTACACTGGCAGCGGTGCACAGTATTTCTCAGTGAAATTATCAACAGTAATAATCAGCGGTAAATATCAGCCATTTTTACAACTGCCTTGTGATTGAATGTCTGACTACTTCATGACAAATAGCATTTGTCATAAAGAAACAGATTATTCTTGGACCTGCGGAGTCCCACTGCATCGCTGTCGGCTTTCATTTGAGACACATTGATCAATCCCTGGAATGATGACCGCAACTGCAGGACTTTTTAAAATGGCAAAAATTTGTTTTTTTTTGTCAAAGACGACTTGTGGACAGGCTTGTTGATCTTCAGCCTTGATAACATTGTTCACACATACATGTACTGTACGTGCTCTAGAACTTTCACTTTTTCTTTGTCTCACTTAACCTTTGTCATCTTGCGGAATTCTTCTCAGACTGCTAACAATCTATATTTGTCTGTCTGTTTAGCTTCCCTTGGTTTGTCCTACCTAATACAAGTTAGACCGTTGCATAATGGTAAAGACGACCTAATTGGAAGCCAAAAAAAGTTTGCTACCACAATGCCAGACAACCTCAGACCTAAGAGTTGTGTTTCCATGGTTACGATCATTGAACCAGTCTGACAACTGACACGAAGAGGTAAACACAGATCAATTTGTGCTTTGCTAGCACTGTTGTTGGGCGAGGTATCACAAAGTTGTCCCTGTTATGAAAGCTGCCTGTTGGGATAAACAGAACTAAGCAGCAGGACTCAGCAATGATCGTGGCAAGAAAAAAGAAAAATCCAATTTTCTCAAGAAAACAGAGCAAATTAATCCTGTTCAAAGCCACTATGTATAGTGCTTGACAATGTCTGAGTCCCTCAGTCTGGGTGTCAAATCATTAACTGTGCCAGGCAGCTATGTATGCCATTTAAGAAACCAGTTTCGGACTCTTTAGTATGTAGCGTGCAGGACGCTGCTCATTAAAGCATTTGGGACTGGCAAAGAAGCTGAACTGGCATTTACACATGTCCTTGACGATTTGCAAGCCTCAGAGAAACTGAGAATCTGTCAAACCCTCAGTGTTTGGTTGCTGCAGCTTACGTGATCATGCACACATCGCCTGCAGTAGACAGTGACCTGACATTATTATGCTGCTGACAGTCAGAGACACTGCCAAGAGACACAGCAGAAGCGTGGCATTACATGCAGATGTATAACAAAAAATCTGTTCAGATCATCACAATTTATCTGATGTTTCTCTCTTAAAAGCTGCTTCTCTGATTATTCCAAGCACGAACATTTGCTCAATATGTAGACGTCTTGCGTAGTTGTCCACCATCACTAACTTTGGTTTTGCTGAAATTCTTGACTGATCCTCATGCCAAAGGCCTTCACCTGCAACATGCTTGAGGGTTTTCTTGCGTGTGCTGCCCGTTTCAACCCACCGTCGTTCCTACACCATTTCAAAAGGAATCAAGTCAGGATTTCTTTCTTTTTCAGCAGGCCATCTGATAACCCTCCATTCCTTCTTTTTGCGCTACTGGCTCATGTGCTTTGGATGATTATCCTGTTGAAAGGTTCGCTTCCTGTTCAACTTCAATTTTCAAGGCAGATGGCTTCACATTATCTTCAAGCACTCTTTGAAATGATGCAGAATTCATGGTTAAATCAATGACTACAAGCTGCCCAGTTCCTGAGGCAGCCAAGCAACACCAAACCATAACATTTACACCACCAAGCTTCACAGCTGGTATGAGCTTCTTCTCCTGAAACGCTAGACTGAACAAATCTACTGTTATTATGATTAATGTCCAGAGCACATTATTCCACAGGGCCTGCTCTTTGCTTGTATGTTCATTGGCAAACATTAATTTTGCTCTAATGTTCATTTGGGACAGCAAGGGCTTTTTTATGTGGCACGCCTCCAGATTTGACCTGTAATTTCTTCATGATTGTAGACATGTGCACTTTGACACCAATAGACACAACAGTTACAGTCGTCCTCAAATTTATTCATACCCTTCCGTTAAAGAAAAGGCAAAATTCAGAATAGTCACTCAAATAACTAGAAAACAATGAAATAAGACATTGCTTTTGAATTGTGGTTGAAAAGATTAATTTAAAAAAACAAACAAAACTGTCCCAGACAATTAGAACACTTTACTGATGAGCAGCGGGCTACAATCAAAATACCTGTCAACAGGTGCAGAAGTCTGACTGAGAGTTGCAGAAAACACTTGATTGCCTCAAAGGGTTGTTCAACAAAATTTTAGTTAATAGGTCCCGCCATGCTTGTTTGCTTGTTTTTGTTGTTATTGCTGTTTTAGCATTTCTGTTGAACCACAATTCAAAAGCAATGTCATGATTTTCATTATTTATTTATTTATTATTACTTTTGTCACTTTCAACTTATTTCAGTGTTTTTTTTCTTGTTTAATGGGAGGGCATGAATACATTTGAGGATGACTGTCCCTGCGGATCTTGTGTGAAATTTTAGGGTTCTTGGAGAGTTCTGTTTGCATCAAATGGTCTGCTCCTGGGCTGCAAGGTGGTGTAGTGGTTAGCACCATTGCCTCGCAGCAAGAAGGTCGCTGTTTCGTGTCCCAGTGAGGACACCCGGGACTTTCTGCGTGGAGTTTGCATGTTCTCCCTGTGCAGCGTGGGTTCTCTCTGGGTTCTCCAGCTCCCTCCCACAGTCCAAAAACAGGTTGAAGTTAATTGGTGATTCTAAATTGTGTGAATGTGAGTATGTATGGTTTTCTGTCTCTAAGTGTAGCCCTGTGATGGACTGGTGACCTGTCCAGGGTGTCCCCTGCCTTCGCCCTAAGTCAGCTGGGATAAGCTCCCGCGACCCCAGTGAGGATTAAGCGGTGTATAGATAATGGATGGATGGATGGTCTGGTCCTGGAAAGAAGTTGCCCTGTTCTAGACAAATTTGCAGTTGTTTTTTCACTACTTGTAAATTATTTTCTTTACAGCAGAATAATTTGTTTCAAATGCTTTGGAGATCTTTTAAAATCCTTGCCAGGCTCATAGGCATCCAAAACTTTTCTTCTGAAGACCTTACAGAAAGCTCTCTAGATCTTGGCATGAGGACACCACACATTTAAAAAGCAAGGAGAACAACAGACCTCAGATGTCAGAGTTTTAATAAGAAAAGTTCCACATGTCGCTCCCTAAGGCGGTTCTAATCATTGACACCTAATCTTGAACTGCTGATTCCAGTTTTATGGATCTGAAGTGGCTATAAATTTGGGTGTCGGGATATTTCCACAGGATTTATATGTAAAATTTAAAAATTGTCATTTCATTTGCCATTTGTTTGAATTTATCACCAGTTTAAAAGAGGATCAAATGGGGTTTTTTTTCCCTACATATGTCAAAAAAGCCTCCAATATCCATGGAATGTTCTTATTTTTTAACTGATTTCACAATAAAGACAGATCAGTTGCATGTTTACAGTATTTCTGCATATGATCATAAGCAAGGACTGTGGTTTATTTTGTTTGTTTCTTTGCGCTTGTGTGTTTTTACAGTGATTGAGGAGGGCGGTGTGAAGATGAAGCTGACAGTTGTCGACACTCCAGGCTTTGGAGACCAAATCAATAATGACAACTGGTGGGTTTTCCAAGATCATTAAAACCTCATAAATGTCCTAATTACATTCTCATCTTACCAAGAATCAATTTTCACTTGCACCATACAGAACCGTAGTTTTATTTCAGGAGAGCTGTGATGCATTTATTTTCCCCACAGTTCTAGCAGTGATGATCTTTTCTCTGAAGCTGGCTTGTTGTGTTGTCTTCACAGCTGGGAACCCATTTCCAAATACATCAATGAGCAGTATGAGAAGTTCCTAAAGGAAGAGGTCAACATCACCAGAAAGAAGCGCATCCCCGACACCAGGATGCACTGCTGTATCTATTTCATCTCCCCAACTGGACACTCGTGAGTTAAGCTTTGGCAGGGCTGGAGATTAGTGAAGTAATCAGTTGAAGCATTTTTAAGCACCTCATCTTCAAAGGGATGTTTTTAGTAATCTGCCCGCATGCTTGGAGAGAACCGCTTGCAGACACACACACACACACACACACACACACACACTAACACACACACGAACACCGCACAATGTTCATGTCCTTTTATCCAGGAGCATTTCATTTCACATTAACAAAGCCCTAAATCAAGTGTGCTACTTTATATTGCAGACAACACACACATCTGTCTCCTCTGAACACCTCACAATTAGCTCCCGCTGACAACTGTGAAATTGCTCTTTAATGGATAAACGGATACAGTCTTTTGTGTATTACTGCCAATGTATCTCATCCTTCTTAGCTGGGATAATTGAGACTGACACGATGTTTTGTGTGCAGGCAAACAAGAACTGGGACACAACCTTTGTTCAATGATAAGCCCACTTTTCCAAAACATTCACACTGTAAATCTTTTGTAATTGTGGCAAGAACAGGGAAAGGTAATGAGACACATGAAATATGACAGATAAAATCCCCCCCTAAGGGCCTCCTATCGGTATCAGCTGTCCCAGTCGTCTTACTGGGAGAATCACAGCTCCCTCATCTACCTACAAACTCACTTTAATTCTCTGTCCGTCTGTTCCAGCCTTCGACAGCTAGACCTTGAGTTCATGAAGCGTTTGAGTCACTCAGTCAACATTATTCCAGTCATTGCCAAAGCAGATACGATGACCATTGAGGAGAGACAGGAGTTTAAACAGCGGGTGAGTTTTGCCAATGATCTGACTTTGTTGCTCTAATCTTTATTTTCATATTAACAATGGATCAGCCTCTCCTGGCGATGCTGCTCTGTTCAGATCAATTTAGGGGATCAAGATCAAAATAGTTTGTTTTATGTTATGTGTGTATTTGAAATATAATACTGGATATATCAGGGAGTGTTATCATTTTTATTAACTTTAAATGTCAGTATTGGCATCTGCCTCAAAAATCCAGTCTCAGGCAGGCTGCAACTGCTCTGGACTGTTGTGTAGACATGTGATGTAAAGATGTTCTTTTGTTTGTTTTTTCTTGTTTCCTGTAGGTAAGGAAGGAGCTGGAAATGAGCGGGATTGAGTTTTATCCACAGAAAGAGTTTGATGAGGACATGGAGGACAAGAGCGACAATGACAAGATCAGAGTAAGTGGTTCTGCTCTTTAACTCACACGACATTTGTCCAGTGATTTCTTATTCAGCAGGAGAATTAGTCTTTGCCACCCCCCCTTTCTACCCAGCTTGACCCAGTCTCTCTCACAAACACGCAGCGCCTTCTCTTAGCAGAATGTCAGGGCACTGGGGCATGTTATGTATTTGTTTCATCTCATGAACCCTGCGCTGCTCTCTTTGGTATACTGAACTGCGCTGAAATGTCTCTGTCTATAGGAGGCGATGCCCTTTGCTGTGGTGGGTAGTGACAAAGAATATCAAGTGAATGGCAAACGAGTTCTGGGGAGGAAGACGGCGTGGGGAATCGTAGAAGGTGAGTGAAAGCAACTTAATTAAATGAGTTTCTGTGCTAAAGACATGATGTTGATGGTTGTTTGATTGTTTTGTTTTGGGGTTTTTTTGCAGTTGAAAATCCAAACCATTGTGAGTTCGCTCAGCTGAGAGATTTCCTCATCAGGTAAACTAGTCTTTTAACTAGATATTTAAATCCTAATGCAATAAAGCAGCTAGAAAATATTGGAATTTTCCATATTAGTAAATGTTAGCATCACTGTATTTTAGCAATAACATGAATCTAGTGGTATAAACAATATGGCTGCAAGCTGAGTATTTTCTTGATTTATTTGATCTCTAAAATGTTGGAAAGTAGCAGAAAGTCATAATGTCCTACACCTCAAGATGAGGTCATCACATTGTTTATTTGCCACACCCTTAGACTTTTGCGGAGCATTTCCATAACTTTTAATCACCAAGGCTTGTTGCATGCACTGGCCAGATTTGAGGCCTGTAGGAGTTAACCCCTAGGAGGAGATAGATTTTAAATATGACAAAAATCACCAAAAATTGCACAGTTATTTCAAAATGGTGGACTTCCTGTTGAGTTTACGGTATGGGTTCAACAAGCTTTTTTGTGCGTCCTGATGTGTTACATATGCCTACCAAATTTCATAGATGTAGGCTAATGTAGGCTAATAGATAAATTGCTGTAGGGGGTGCTATAGAGCCATTTTGCCAGACAAGCACACATTGTCGTTGAGCCGATAGTGACTCGTATGCCAATTTTGATGAGTTTATGAGCATTCCCAAGCTGTCAAAAAGTACTTTCCGTACCTAGTAACTATGCATCGCCATGGCAATGACGTTGCTTGAAAAGGCAAAACCTTCACACTGTAGCATCGTCAATGTGGGAAGACTGAACTGACCAATTTCAAGAATATCACAAAGTTTGAAGCAATGTCACATGGAAGTGTAATGCCTCAAACAGCTGTTACCAATAGGTGGCGCTATGACTATGAGTCAATTTTACAGTGTGGATGTCTTCAGACATGGACTCTTGTCAATCATATGTGATTTGGGCCTGATCTGATGATCTGCAGCTGAGAGATGAACATCTGACTTTTCATTGAAATTTGCCGCGCTGTCACAGACACGCGCTTTGTCATAAACACACAATTTTCACTGAGTCATCATCAACATGTGAAGACCTATTTCACCAAATTTGATGTTCATATGATCAATGGTCTTACAGTACTATATCAAAGTGTCATTTCCTGTTGCCAGCAGGTGGCGCTATGACTGTGAATGGATATTGGCATATGGATGCTATCAGGGCAGCACTGTGATCAAACATTAAAAGTTTGAGGCAGATTAGAGAATGTACAGGGTAGTTAGACAGAACTTCCTCTTTCATGGCGACGGATCAAAAATCAGCAGGCCGCCATGGCCAAGCCCTTTGACTTTTGCAGAAGATTTCCATATTTTTTTTACCTTCAAGGTGTGTTCTACATGCTAGCAGGATTTCAGCGCTCTGTGACCTACCACCTAAGAGGAGTTCGCTCAGGGCGGAGAAACGAACAATCCAAAATGGCGGACTTCCTGTTGGGTTTAGGTCATGGCCACTGCTGGCTTTTTTGTGTGTCTGGATGTGCTGCATCTGTCTACCAAGTTTCATGGATGTAGGGGAAAACTGCTGCCCGTAGTAGATGTTACAAATGTGAAACTAATGTAGGGGGACCTTATATCCTGTAAAAAGTGCAAAGTGACACACGTCCACAACATCCACAGGAACCCAGTTTGTTCTACTAAGTGCGATGTGAGGGACAATGTAACCACTGACAGACCGATATGCACAGTAGTATGTACGTCCAGGTTCAAAGTCTGCATGAGTCAGTTCACGGAGATGCAGACATGATGCAAAGACCTTTAAACCACACATAGGAATCACTAATTCCTCCTTGTTTCAAACTGCTACATACAAGACTAGTAACTTATCTTCTCTGTGTTCTCCCTCTCTCTCAGGTCTCACCTCCAAGATTTGAAGGAAGTCACCCACAACATTCACTATGAAACCTACCGTGCCAAGAGACTGAACGAGAATGGAGGTCTGCACCCCATATCTTCCAATGACACCCAAGAAAGCAACCTGTAGTCGTTCAGTTGGAGAAATGCTTAAAGTGAGAATGAAAACACTGCGAGGAAGCTCATAGGTGAATCTACAAAATATTATCAACATTGTCACCACAGCATTTCTGCATGTGTGGATAAAAAATTGAATCTGTAAAAATTGGTGTCATTTCATCTCCAAACCCCACCCATGCATTTTTCACTTTCTTCCCCACCTTTACCCTTCCAAGCATATCAAACCCCTCTTCTTTCATTTCAGTAATTCTTTTGACTATTGCAGGCAGGAACAGCCAGACACTTAGTGCCATTATAAAATTAACATTTTATCCACTGCCAACGCTTTGTCATCTCTCATCATTCAAATAGTGCGAGTTTAGAAAGTGCCATATTATTAAGTGTGTGAGAAGCTAATTTTTAAGTTTTGTTAATGTGTAGCAACTGATGTCTGGATTTAGACAAACAAGATGATTTGTTCCAACTATTAAAATGATAATTCTTGTGTAGTAGTGATGCATGAGCCAGCGCTGCAGCTGACTGTTAAAATTGCTGTTTTAAGATTCAACAGCAAGTGTTGGTTTGAAGAAAGAATCTCAGTGACTATGCTGTCAGGGGGACTTAACAAACATTACAAGCTGTGCTGACTTCTTTAATAACCAACTCCACCAAGGAAACAAATGAAATTTCTTTAATATTCCCTCACTCTGTTTGAGTTTGGTTTTCCATTTTTAAGTAGTTTCGGCGCACAGACCTGCATACTAAGATGAAGACATCTGCAACATGAGTCACATGTGAAATGCAGTTCATGTAGGCACAAGTGTCTGTGTTTAATTAAAGAGTCCACAGGGTGAACGACTGTGCATACTGCAGATACAGTGATTCCATACTTCTCCATAATAGTGCAAACACAAACTGAACTGTTTACATACAGCTCTGCACGGTTTGTTTCACCACAGTGGATACTGAGAAGAGGAGGATTCAGTCCACTTTACTGCATTTGTACTGGTGCTCACTTGCACTGGCTGACTGTGTATCTTGCATATTTTCATTTAGACTCAGATGGATCTTGTGACGTATTTTCTCTTAAATAGATGACAAGCTCGAGATTAACTACAGCATTTGATTTAACCTGTATTACTACAACAATAATGTAATTTCAAATACAATCTTCCTCTACTGGAAAAATGCATACACGGTCTAAACCAGGCTGTACAAACTACTATTCTCTGCACATTTGTTTTTTTAAAATTGCATATTTCCTCATCTCACCCATCTTAGTTGGCCATTCATGAAAAGAATAGTATTTGACCCCTCAAAATTCTGATCACTTGTGTGATCAGTGTATATTCTCTGAATAGCAAATGAAGGAGGAAAGAAAACGGAAAATATTTTTGATAACTTGTGCCATGCAAAGTATATGTGACCAGAGCAAAACTCTAAAGCATTCGTGTTGCCATTTTGAAACTGATTTGCTCCTGTGCACCACTTGGTGGCAGCACTCTGCCATGTTAAAGCAGTGACTTTACAGAGTCGGAAATAGGCACTTGGACCATCTTTTCATCCAACTCAGATGTTCCAACTGCTGATTTTTTTTGTTAGAATTTTCTCCAATGTGTCAAATCCAGTGTCATTTGATGACGTTTACAGAGTTTGGGTTCACCAACATATTTCTCCATATCAGGTTTACAAGACACTTGAACAATATTACCCCAGTTGTATGCACTCTGTTTGTGGGTGTAATTATTTGAGATCAGTTTATTTATTGAGCTGTAAACATGTTTACCAAGTTCTCTTCAGGAATTCAACATATATACTGTTCTGCCATGCACTGTCTGCAGTAGAGCACAAATCAGCCAAAACGAACTAATTTAATCTCTCAATATTGATCAATCTTCTTTCATTATAACCTCAGTCTCCATTCTAAACAGTCATATGTTTGTATGATTTTGATATGAAGTGTGATGTCTGCTACAAAATGATAATAGTTGTCTGTGATTTTAGTGCAGTCAAATGTTTTCAAGCAGAAATTTAAACCAGTGTTACAGAACATTCTGTTTCTATGGTGTTTATGTGTGCATGCTTGTATCCATATTGCCTGTTTGCATACAGCCAGTCAGTTCACTCAACACTGCAACTTCACGTCAACTAACAAGTAATATTTCTGAATGTGTGATGTGTACATTAAATTGATATATCCGAAGGTAAAGCGCTGCTGTCTTAACTCCTTAAACTAAACTTAACTTCCCACCATCCACATATCACTCAGCCCTTTCAATTACTTGACCTTCACAATGTCATTTATTTAATTATCACTTTTTGTAAAGTTGCTGTGACACATCAAGGTATAATATCCAGTGTTATATGGAGTTATTTATACATTAATGTCTTATTGTAATTTATTCTTTATTTAATAAATACACATCCATGTTTTTAGAAATATTTCTTCATGATTTCTATTATCAATATTTGTATCATGCCCTCAGAACATTCAAATGAGTATTTATAATATTTTTGGTATCATTATTATTAGTAATTATTGTAGTGAGATAACGGTTCATATTGATCTTATATGTATATCTACATACACTCATGAGTCTCTGTTTTGGAACAGATTTTAAATGGTTAATCATAAATAATAATAATATGAGTACATGAGGAAAACATCCCATCTCTGTGTTTGCTCTCTGACCTTGTACCATAACAACCACAGCTGTTCACAGACAGTGGAGTCACTAATTGCTGTAAAAGAAATTATGCAGGAGCATCACCTGCAGCTGTAGGGGTCAGTGGGAATGTTAGTCAAGAAAAGAGGTACTGAAAAACTATTTACATCCATCATAAACGGCTAAAGCGAGTTTTTTCTTAAAAAATAAATAAATAAAAAAAAAATCCTGATTGGCACTTGATCACTGGTAATACAGCTGACAACTGCTGAGGTGCAAAAAAAAGACTTTATGAGGTTCCGTTCTGATTTTAATTGAATGCGCTCCACTGAGACAGGTCTCTGCAGTGTCTGCAATGGCATGATGATGAGTGGTTTTGCAGGCAATGCAGGCGACTATGTCTTGACCGTAGCGCAGCTTTAAGCGTGAAAGTAACGTGGCTCATGTAGGTCTATTTTTGGGAAGTACACTTTACATCTTCCTGAGAGGATTTTTCTTGTATCTGTTGGTGCCCTCAAAGGTGTCTCTATGGTGTGCCATATGGTTCCATTTTGGGTTCTACAACATTTGCAACCAGTCTCACCTTTGAGAAGGTTATTAGACACTTCATCAACTGCTTTTTAAGAGAGTCTCCATGATAACATTCAGAGTGAGTTTTTTACTCACATTCGGCCACTGAGGCTATATGCAGAAGAAAGGTTCGCCGTAATGTCTGTCATTTTGCATTCTCACATACTGTGTGTAAAATTGTTCCAGTTTTGATAAAACTCTATACACAAGTATAAAAACCTAACTTTTGTGGTGCTTTCCTACAAAGCTACTATGGTCTAAAATACTATAGTCAGGACACTGTCACAGTTTTGTGTCCTGCTTGCACTATTTCAAAGCCATGGTGATGAGTTGATCCAGTCGGTCTGTTTGTCCAACACTTTGGTTCAGAGGTACATCAGCAACTACAGGAAAGGATTTTTTATTTTATTTTTTTAAAATTTAGTACAGATATTCGTGGTACCTAGGGAATGATTTTCATGACACTTGATTTGCATATATTATCATTATTAAGTTTAAATTTCCAAATGACCACTTAACACTTTATTCTTTGAGAGGTAGTTGTGACAATTACAGTTTGCTCTGGACATTTATGGTTTCTGGTCAGTGAATTTGGTGGCTGTTGAAATAAAAACAAAACGAGGAGGTTGCCATTAAAATATCAAGCATGTTCATGCTCCCCAGAGGACGAAAGCATTTCATTTTTGGATATAGAATGACTTGTTTCCCCCTAGTATTAAGCACTTCATAATAATACAAAAAAGTTGAAGTTTAATTAAGTTTTTAAAAAGCTAAAGAATGACCCTAGATTGCATAGAGGAAGTAGATGTAGCAACCATGAGTTGTGGATTCCTGTTGTAACAGGATAAAGCTGAAGAGGAGCATTTCAGTGTGCAATATACTTCAACTTCAACCCACAATCTATGATTAGCACAGGTTACCAGGCCAGGTACTGTTAGCCCCGATTCTTTAGTTGGAAGCCCAAGAACAAACCGGAGAAATATTCAGTTCACAGATGTAGAATTTATTTAGGGCACACGTAAAGTGAGGCAGTGCTGGGCTCAGATTGATAGAGCTCTCGCGAGAGCTCTATCAGAAGGAGCCCAGATATCCGGAAATGATTCACATTTCACAGCAGTGAGCTCAGCCTCACTGGGATTGCGCAATCCCTCGCTACCTACGCTGGCTGCCTGCAGTGACAGCGTGCTGCTGTCGCCAATAACATCGTTCAAACACGTTTAATATATGAACTGATTTTCCATAGTTCAGCTGATGTATGTAATAATGTACAGTGTTTTTTGTTACCAAGTGTATGTGTGTAATGTGTTTTATGTGCTGAGAAGAGGTTCCAGGTGAGGCAGGCAGTTCTAAGCCTCATGGCAGGGGGCGCTTGTGATCCTTGACATGCTTCTTGTGACTCCGTGGCTGCAGGGTAAGTGACAACAAGCTAGACTAGGTACGGTATACAGTTAGCAAGTCAAGTGCAGCGAAGGAAGATAAGGAGACTTTTACAAAAAAGTAATGCATATTTTTGTCCAGAAGGAGCGGAGCATGGACTTCATTTAAAGGTAAAGGTAAGACCGCAATAACTTAAAAAAAAAAAAAAAAGAAACATGCGTTTTGTGGGCTACAGCTTGTATGTGTAAAAATGCAGATATGAAACATAACCCGTAAACTGCTGCCAATCAAATGGCAAATATGCTGCTGTGTAGAGTGCATATATTTGTAAATCAGATTCTGATGAAGTCAGTGCCTCACCAGCCATGAACCTCACCGCACGTCACTGGTTGTAACAAATGATGTGATTTGTCTTTCTTCTCCAAGAACCAACTAAAATTATATACCACACAGTTGTTTTGCACCTATCAATGTAGTCTTTTTCTTTTAAAATCTGTTTAAATACTTTATTTCAGGTTGTTAACATTGATTAATAGGAGTATTTCTTGGTATGGCCAAGAGTTTTGCTTGTGCTCCCAACTTTTTATAGTGGTGCGCCTAGATTTTTGCCGGTGCTCCTAACTTTTTTGGGTTAGGAGCATAGTGCTCCTAGGTCAAAAAGTTAGTCTGGAGGCCTGAACCGGCCATGTTATCTTCAAGGACATGCATTGTGCTCAGTAGAAAAAACAGGATCATAGGTTCAGTGGAGAAATATGGATTCAGAATACATGATAGGTCAAAACATAGCTAATTTTAACAGCACCATGCCAAAAATATTAGCTTGCACCAGCTAGCTAGCGGTGTTAGGATTCGTAAGTCATGTTAACTGTAATACTAATTTGGATGATAATTTTGGCAGGCAAAAACAAGCTTAAATGACAGGTGTACTCCAGAAACATAGAGCAGCTGACTCCTGAGAGTGGTTTTAGTACAACTTAACACTAATTATTTTTATTGTACCAAAATGTTAGCAACTACATAATAGCCACACCCTGCAGCATACCATGCTTTATCGTCGACGTTACATTGAAATGGACCATAGATTAAGAAATAAACAGCATTGTGTATTTAAAAGACTGAAAACTAGTGACTGAGACCTTAAACACAAATAGAAACAGAACATGTTTACTGAGGTGATAAATCATGAGAGAAGTAAGGGTATTTTCCTCTACTTCTATGCAATTGCACCTTTTTTTTTTCCAAAGGTGGAGTCGCCCCCTGCTGGTTAATAGGAAGAATGCCGGTTTAAGGTACTAAAACATTAGCTTCACTTTTAATCCCTAGAGATTATGTCCACTTCTTTTATCCCGTGTGTGGACGTGATGCCAAAAATGATCAGGTTTCTAAGAAATATTTGTTGCTGTTCAACAAAATGTAACTGCACATACTATTGTTGTTGTTACATAAAACCTGCTGTAGATTAGATCAGATTGACTGATAAGAGACAAAAGTTTGACCACAGTCGGTTAGAGTATGTACTTCTCACAACCATTTCAGGAGCAGATCAGCATGAAATTTACTGAACAGATTCCTGTCTTACAGAGAATGAATCATTTCTATTTTTAACTGTTGAAGATCTTTAGACCATCCTCCCCCCACCCAAAGTTCACTTTTACAATATCAATGTCTTCTATCATCCAAATTTGGCAGTTGTGTGACCCCAGTATCCACAATGACGCAAGGAAAGACTCTTGACAAAGTACAGCTAAGTTTAACAACGTAGTTCTGTAAACCAATCTCCAAATTAGTAAGTAAAAACCAAGTTACTTCTAGACAGCATCGTTACAGTCATCATTAATTAATGTCACAGCTCAATTTTCAGAAGTATTTTTAAATATACCTTGTAACAATGTGTAAACATGTTATTTATATAAAGGCCTACTCTACCTCTAGATGCCAGTAGAGACCACCATCCACCATTTCCGTTAAGCTCCTACTGAAACTCATAATTCCCTGCATAAAGCATCAAATTAAATTTTTCAAACAACTTCATAACCAGACGCTGTACAACATGTTTAGATTATCCGTAACAATATGTTTATTATGTTCAAAGGTTTCACTTTGACTTTTAAATTACGGTTTTCCATAAACTACAGCTATACTGTGACATTTATAATGTTATGCTTTAATTTACTTTATTTCTCATTTGTTTTAGCACAGATGCCTTCTTGTTTTAGAGGTAGGGCAATTAGTGATTTGGGTTGTCAACTTGGGGCTGCAGGGTGGCGCAGTTGGCTAGCACTGTTGCCTCGCAGCAAGAAGGTCACTGGTTCGCGTCCCGGTGGGAGCACCGGGATCTCTCTGCGTGGAGTTTGCATGTTCTCCCCGTGCAGCGTGGGTTCTCTCCAGGTTCTCCGCTTCCTCCCACACAAAACATGTTGAGGTTAATCGTCGATTCTAAATTGTCCATAGGTGTGAATGTGAGTGTGCTTGGTTGTCTGTCTCTAAGTGTAGCCCTGTGATAGACTGGTGACCTGTCCAGGGTGTTCCCTGCCTTCGCTCTAAATCGGCTGGGATAGGCTCCAGCCCCCCACGACCGGAGTGAGGATTAAACGGTATATAGATAATGGATGGATGGATTGTCAACTATTATAAAAGTCAATCTCAGAAACAGATCCAACAGAAGCTGGAAACCACATTTGAATAAGTCCTGAGACCAAAGATTTAAAAATGCAGACGTTTTAAACACAGTTTATGGGTAGATCTGTTTGATCCTTTACCTAAACAACAAACTTATTTGCCTTTAACCTGTAGAATGTTTGCCAAAGGATATCTACCGTCGGGCTAT